CAATGGCTGAACTAATTGATGTTCTTACCAACAGTATATGTAGCCTTCTCTTTTCTCTGCAGCCTCAACAGCATCTGTTGTTTTTTGATGTTTTATGGATAGCCATTCTGACTAGTGTGAGATGGTATCTCATTGTGGTTTTGATTTGCATTTCTTTGGTGAAAAATGGTGGATTTTTAAATGGGATTTGATTTTTAGATTTAATAGAAACTGCATAGGTGACTGTGCAAAGAACTCTTAAGATTTGACAAAAACCAAATTAGATTGTAATCTCCTTTGTGTAGGAGAGGAAATAAAGACCAGAATATTAAAATATCTACATGTACAAAAATAGACAAACTGGCAGATTGCTGATGTTGGATGGATGTTGAGCAGGGATGGAGGACGTGTGTGTGCATGAATGCATGGCCATGTGTGGAGAGTGGTCGTTCTTGTTGGTATCAGCTTAGAGCTTTGGGCTTCAGAACAAAAGATAAGCCACATCCCACTCAGGTACCCTAAAATGTTGTCTTCACTAGACACAAAAGAAAAGGGAAGCCAGAGATGTATGTAGCTTGTGCAGAGTTTTGGGAAAAGCTCTTCTAGACTTTCTTAGTGAGCGGTATAGAAGGATTATTGTACAAGCCCAGTAATTTGGGCGAGGATCGGCTTCTGTTGCTTTTGTTTTCTGGATGCTCCATAATGAATGTGAGATGGAAGCGGATGTCTCAAGTGCTTCTTGTTCTCAGAAACCTCCTGGCAGCAGACATCTCAGTGGGCCCAGATGTTCAGCGTGGCTGGAAGTAAAACACAGGGAAGGGTGCTGTTTGTCAGTTATCCTATTTTTTTTTAATGCATCTACAAAGCTTCCTGTTTTCTAATATATTACAAGCCTTTGAAAGACAAGGCCATAAACACTCAGGAGATGTGATTTTATTCATTTTAAGGTCAAAATACCAAAATACCTGTTATCAGGGCTCACCTTAATTAAATATGTATCTTAAAATTAAACCAATCTCAATTTAAGGAATGCATACTTAGGGGAGAAATGTATTACAATTTTTATTCTGAACACTTTAAATTCTGATAGGCCTAATAGTGCGAGCCTTGCCTTAATTGCAACCTGAGTCAGAATAACTGCCCTGCAGAGAATCATTTAAAATACCCAATCAAGTTGTAAATCAGTCAAAATGCCATTCTGAGATATTATTTTATGCAGTCTTTGCAGAGAATAAATGCTGTATAGCCCTTCTTCACTCCCAAAGTATATGTATATATTTAATGAAGTTAGTTTTCACCTTTTTATTAACATTTTTTATCCATTAAAAATTTTAGAATTCATTTTGTAGTATATCCTCTTTATCTTAGGAATATTAAAAATCTACCTATTTATGAATAACTATCAATAACCACATTTCATCCTTTGTGAAATCCTTTTCAGTTTTTGAAACTCACATGGGAGATCTTTTATTATTTTGCCCACAAGGATATAGGTTGGTTAAATTTACAGTGATTCTTTAATGATGATAATGTACATTTGATTGATATCAGTAAGAAATATCGATATCTTCAATATCAACATTGCTTGTAATGCTAGAAATTTACAAGTTGCCAATTTTTTGAATGTAACTATGTTTACACACACAGACAACGTACATGACAGCACTAGTTATATTCGCTAAATATACCTACTGATACTTAATCATTTACACAGCCACTATAATTTTATACTTGATGGCTTAAACCAGTAATTCTCACTTGAGGGTGGTTTTGGCCCCCGGACTATCTAGCACTATCTAGAGACATTTTCCATAGTTAAAACTGGGTAGGAGGTGCCACTTTCGTCCAGTGAGTAGAGGTCAGGGATGCTGCAAAATACTTGGGCTTTAGATTATAGTAATTTTGTGCAAATTAGCCAAATTTCAAAAAACGAGGGAGTAAAAAAAGATAGCTCTCAACCTGTGAATATTGTGAATGCCCGATCTAGAACTAGTAAGTGGACAGATGCCCTTGGGCCCGTCTTCTTAGGTTGCTGCTGCTTCATAATCACTCACTGCCCATCAGGACTTTGTGGGACGCAGATTTAGACAGAGGAGGGATTTGATCATACAGCTGGTTCAGTCATAACCAATATGTGGCTCATAGTCTCATTCACATTGAGTTTGAGACTTTTAAGACGTGGGCTGGAATTCCTCATGGAACTAACTTTATATACCTTGGAAGAAGTCTACCCACTGAATTCTACATTTATTGAGCTCTGTGTTTCAGGGACTATGCAATACCTTGAGGATACATACTATCTCATTTTGTCCCAAGTAGCTTTTAAATACTTGGGATTAAATGAGATAGTATGTAAAACCAAATACTTTACAGCTACGTGGGACTAAGTGTGATAGCATGTAAAATCGCAAATAGTAGACTGGTAAAGTGAGTCCTAAAGAATTTGAATGACCTGCTGTCAGCCTACTCAGCACTAACAGTGAGTTGATAGCACCTTGTGTCTCTGTACCCAGGAATCTTTTGGGCAGGTCTGTGTTGAACATTGCAGCATGTTGTATATGTTGACTGGGCATCTTCTGTGCTCTTCAACTTTTGCCTATAGGCTCCCTTCCTGCTCTGCACAGCTCCATGAACCAGGTGGAACACACCATTTTACCTTTTTGCAGTCTGCAGAGGTTGACTTGCTTCCCTCAGCTCACAGAGGTAGCATCCCAGGACTCAGGTTCATCTGAATTACAAGTTGATGGCCTCACTGCTCACAATAGCAAAGACATGGAATCAACCTAAAGGCCCATCAGTGGTAGACTGGATAAAGAAAATATGGTTCATATGTACCATAGAATACTATGTAGTGATAAAAAAGAACGAGATTATGTCCTTTGCAGGAACATGGATGGAAGCAGAGACTATTATCCTTAGCAAACTAATGCAGGAAAAGTAAACCACATACTGCATATTCCCACTTACAAGTGGGAGCTAAAGATGAGAACTCATGAACACAAAGAAGGAAACAATAGAAAAAGCAGCATATTGGAGGGTGGGCAGTGGGAGGAGGTAGAGGATTAGGAAAAATATTTATTGGGTACTAGGCCTAGTACCTGGGTGATGAAATAATCAGTACAACTGACCCCTGTGACAAAAGTTTACCTGTATGGCAAACTTGCACAGCTACCCCTGAAGCCAAAATAAAAGTTAAAAAAAAAAGTTGATGATTTCACCTGTTCTCTTGGGGAAGGCTCTGAAAGTAACAGCTACCTCTAGTTAAAAATCTTTCAGGAAAGAATCAACCAAACACAACATCACCTCTTTGTTTTTCTTGTCTGTCTCTTAATTATTCAGAAATGGGATTGCTGTATGGCAGACATCCAAATGTCTACAGTAGAATTCAAAGATAGAAGCAAACACCTAAATCAGCCATTTGGTGAGATGCTATTTGTCACTTTCAAAGTTACAATCCAGATTTTCAGTGCATATTCATCCATCTCTGGTGAACTTTTCCCAGGATGGCATGTACTATGGAATTTCCCCCTGTTGGTATTATTGTTCTGTGACAGATCCAGCTCCAATATGTTTTATTTTAAAAAAAAGCCATGTGATGTATTCTGTTCATCTGATTACTTAAATGAAACAGATAATTATTTTCTGATGCAAATGCTCTGAATAACCCACAAAATCCTTAGAAACACGTATGCATACTTTGAGATGAAGAACTCTCTAAAGGCACCCTCCTTGTGACACCTAGTGAAATGTTTTCCGTTATTAGGGGGTCATTTAACATACTGTCTATTGCTGCACAGCATTCTTTTATTGTCACAGGAGCAGCGATTTCTCTAGGGATAGTCATATTATCCATGTAGAGACAAACTGAGGTGGTTACCCTTTAAAAGTTGACTCCAGGCTCACTGGGAAAGTAACTCAAATGTAGCCTCAGCTTTTTAAATGGGCTAAAGAGTGAAGAGGATACCCTCTAAGGCATGCAATGGATTACTGGAAAGTCAGGATAATCGTATCAACACTTTTAATTATGAATGAAGTCTTCAGGAGACTAGCACTACAGCATGTATTTGAAATGCACTATCTTGTATAGTTTTTTTACAAGGAAGCTGAGATTCAGAGCAGTGAAGTATGTAGCCTAAATATATATGCACTTGACCAGACCAAGGAGAATTTGTGTCCAAAGTCTACACTCTTTTCATTTGATGATGTTCCCTTTGTGACCTGATAAATATCCACATCATGATGCCAGACTGACTTGGATGCATACTTCCATTTTCCTCCTACTGGAAAACTTTCAGAGCTCCATGCATGTCTCCTTAGGAAAATGTGACAGTTTCCTTAAACATTTGAGAAACAGTGTTTTGGAAGTACCCATGTATTGATAACCAGTCTGGTAAACAATAGCAAAACTGGGAGGTGCCGTTACCATAATCTGCATAACCTGTATAACTCTTGAACATCTGTTTGTTCATTCAACACAGATTTGTTTAATGTTTTCTAAATGTCAGGCATTGTTCATGGTGATAGGATGTACAGCAGGAATTAAGACAAGTGGTGGCTGCTAGGAGTGGTGACTCATGTCCGTAATCCCAACACTTTGAAAGGTTGAGGGGGAGGATCCCTTGAGGCCAGCCTGGACAACATAGGGAGACCCGACGTCTACAAAAAAATCCAATGAATTAGCCGGACATAGTGGTGCATACCTGTAGTCCCAGCTACTCGGGAGGGTGAGGCAGGAGGATGGGTTGAGCCCAGGAGTTGGAGGCTGCAGTGAACTATGATAGCACTACTGCATTGTATCTTGGGCAATATAGCAAGACACCATCTCTGAAAAAAAAAAACAAATAAAGACAGGTGATGTTCTTGCTCTTGCCTACTATGTGGAGATGGCACTATACACATTCCTATACAAATGAATAGGAATTTCTTAGAGAGATGTTGTGGATTTCATGGAAGAGCCAGCCAGTGTTCTAGGTGGTCATTGTATGGCTTCATTATTCTTGTCTGCTTTCTTCCTCTTTTAGGCTGCCTTGGAGTTTTCATGAGAAATTGTCCCTGGAGGTGTTAAATGGTCACAGCTTCCTTGGAGCATTGCAGTTGCTGGAATCCAGTTTCAGGATTAAGGGAGGGCTGCCCCCTTGCAATGGGCTGCCAAGAAAACCGCTGTGCTTGTTCTTAACCTCAGGCTCTGTCTGTGATCAGTCTGAGAGTCTCTCCCAGGTCTTCTGCTCCCTGGAAAGCCCTGTCTCTCTGCAGGCTCGCCTCTGGGCTTTGTCTCCTTGGAGCCACATCACTGGGACAGCTGCGGATGTGGATGCAGATTTGAACCATGTCGCGGCCCCAGGGACTGTTATGGCTTCCTCTGTTGTTCACCCCAGTCTGCGTCATGTTAAACTCCAATGTCCTCCTGTGGATAACTGCTCTTGCCATCAAATTCACCCTCATTGACAGCCAAGCACAGTATCCAGTTGTCAACACAAATTATGGCAAAATCCGGGGCCTAAAAACACCGTTACCCAGTGAGATCTTGGGTCCAGTGGAACAGTACTTAGGGGTCCCCTATGCCTCACCCCCCACTGGAGAGAGGCGGTTTCAGCCCCCGGAACCCCCATCCTCCTGGACTGGCATCCGAAATACTACTCAGTTTGCTGCTGTGTGCCCTCAGCACCTGGATGAGAGGTCCTTATTGCATGACATGCTGCCCATCTGGTTTACTGCCAATTTGGATACTTTGATGACCTATGTTCAAGATCAAAATGAAGACTGCCTTTACTTAAACATCTACGTGCCCACGGAAGATGGTGAGTACCTCACTGGAACAGAAAACAATACCTCTTGGGCAGTGTGTAGAGACATTTGCCAGGAGAGTTTTATAGTGTCTCGTGCATGATCTTTTCTATAACCCGTTTATTTTAATTTATTTTTCATATTACAAATGCAGTTCTTGCAACAACTTATCACGTGTTCCACTTGTATATATTGGGCCATCTACTGGCTAGAGAAAACTATAAAATATGACTTTAATTATTTTCATATATCACCTTCTTAACTTTTTATAATGCTTATTTGCAGATGAAAATAAATATGAGCATATAATGTTGCATGTTATACCCGAATCATCTGTAAAGGAATGAGTCTATAGAAAAATAATAGAATTAAGTACACTATTATGTTCCAGTTTGTAAACTGAAAGAGAAAATGGTTCTTTCTGCCTTAATGACTTAAGATATTAGCAACTTTTTTGAGTTTTCAAAGAAAAACTTGATAATGGTTAATATACAAGCAGGGGATAGTTCATACAATGGTTGGATTTCATTGTTTAGAATCCATTTCCTTAACGTAAATTTGGATGTTCTTTTCTTCCAATATTCGCTGCAATCAAATGGCAAAATGTAGTCAGATGATTCTAGCTACATTAGAGATGAACACGTTTGTATTTTTAAAAATTTCCTTTTTTTAGTAAAAAAAACAATGAAAGTCTGTAGACACAATAATATTTAATATGTTAACCTAATGTTAGTAAAACATGAATAGTTTTATGTCTATAGATTTCAAATTCAGATTTCCTAGGAAGAATAACCAGACTAAAGTATGCCACAGTACTATCACATTTCCCAGTTAGCATTTCCATATGCCATATGAGGAGAAAAACAACAGAGAATAAAATATACCTGGAAAGAAAGGAAGAAAGGAAGTTAATTTGTGGGAATGACAGATGTATCTAATGTAGAAACTAGAGTGTGTCCTTTGTATAAAGTTCTTCGTGGAGAGTGTGATAAATTTCTTTTATGGAGAAATTTTTTCTTCTTCCTTTTTTTTTTTTTTTAACTTCAATCCCTGGAAGACATTTTTCAGTAAGATTTGGCTGAAAATACTAAATAAACAACGACATTAATCTAATGATCTCCAAAGTTGTATTGCATCTATCAGATTTCTCTTTCTCCATATAAATGCCAGATAGTCTAAGTTAGAGTGTCATGAAAAACCAGACCAGGGTTGCGTGTCACTGAGATTACAAATTGTCATTGAGATTACAAAGAACAGCCCAGAGCAAGAAATTAAAGGACTGTGCTTCATTATATTAGTGGTTTCTGGCATATTGCCCTTGTCGTTATGGTGACAGACCTCACAATTATCTCATAAAGTCCAGGTCTGAATGTGATTCAAGGAGTTAAACTGACATTTGGACGCTGTACTTCCATGGGGTGCTCTGAGCTGTCTCCGTGCCTAACAGTCCCTCTTTGTGTGTGTGTGAGATGAATAAGAGCTCTCAAAAGCAATTAGGGTTCTCATTTGAGCAGCCACCTGGGTTGATATCTTTCTCATAATGAACTATTCAAACAAAAACCAAAAATAAAGGAAGACAAAAACGGGGAGAAAAAAAACCCGAAAACAGGACAAAGGGTTAAAATTGCTTTCATAATACCTTGGATGTGCTAGAGTCTGGTGATTTTATAGAGCTAGCCTTGGCAACAATGAATGCACTTCAAATAGAAGGCCGCCTCATATAGGAGTTGGACAGATTGAGGCCACCCATGAGAAACAATCAATAGCCTCCCTGACTGCAGAGCCCCGTATGTACAATTGTGTGGCTGGAGACCACAAACAGTGTGGCCGTTTCATTGTGATTCAGTATTGAATTAAAATTCGAGGAATGTAAATATGTGAAAAATGCTATTCAGTGAAAAAGTAATCCAAACCTGATAATAAACCCAGTTCTACTTGTTTCGTTCTTTAGGCGTTTTGAAGCATTATGCCCATATGATCTTGACAAGGGAATCAGAAATCTAATAGTGACTGAAAAAGTAGAAGCGATCTCCCCACTATGTGTAAACCTTAGAATTTTGCTGGTGAGAGTTCAAAGCTACAGCCCTGCATGTTTATACAGTCCACAAATCACAGCCTTTGGGTTAGGAGTTTTTGTTTTTGGTTGCTTGCTTGTTTTCTTAACTCTATCAACCAAGAAGCAGTGCAGGCGGGGCATGGTGGCTCACGCCTGTAATCCCAGCACTTTTGGGAGGCCGAGGCAGGCAGATCATGAGGTCAGGAGATTGAGACCATCCTGGCTAACATGGCGAAACCCCATCTCTACTAAAAATACAAAAATTAGCTGGGCATGGTAGCGCGTGTCTGTAATCCCAGCTACTCGGGAGGCTGAGGCAGGAGAATCGCTTGAACCCAGGAGGCAGAGGTTGCAGTCAGCCAAGATGGCACCATTGCACTCCAGCCTGGCAACATAGCAAGACTCCGTCTCAAAAAAAAAAAAGTACCAATGCAGAGCTTTAGATATTTAATTATTGGTTATTCACTAAATGAATGAACTCCGCATCCACAACAGCATATTGAAATGTTGACATCATGCTGATTCTCTCCAAAGGCCTTCCCTTAGGCAGTATCTTAATTCAGATCAATGCTTTTATTTAGCAGGATAGACAGCAATATTATTATTTGGAATTTAAAATTCCACTCTGACCAGTCTGATCAAGCCAGAAAGACAAATCTAAACAACAACAACAACAACAAATCTACTTTTTTTTGGTTTAGCTTTGTCTTTCTGCCTTGATCAGAATGGCTCAAATTTCTACGTGTCCACTTTCATAAAATGTGTAGGTATATTAAAAATAAAAAAATAGACTTTATTTTAGGTACATACTTACCCTTGCATTTAAGAAATAATCTGCATGAGGAAAAGTGTTGGAAATTTCTTCATTGTACAATAGTTTATGAAACATATATATTTTTTTCTTTAGAAAGCAATACTTTTTATAATTAATAAATCAGGTCTTGCTGAAGGTGAGTCTTTTCGTTTAAACTGGCATCATGATCTACTAAACTTAGGCTTGGGTCTTTATAACTATTTCCTATCTTACAAATTTCTTTATTTAAATGTTCATAGGTTATTACTTTCTCTTTGTTGTTAGACGACAGGCTAATTAACTTGAATTGCATATTTAATCTTTTGATAGGTGCTAAAATAAGGTCAAAATCAGTCAAGCCAGTTGGAAGCTCTAGTAGGACACATGGGCCATTGTTGACAAGGAGCAGTTGGAGACCGAATGACCGAATCTGCATGGGGTGTGTGTGTGTGTGTGTGAGACAGAGAGAGAGAGAGCGCGAGCAGAGAGAGAGTGACTGAGTGACTACTTTGAGGAAGCAATGCAGAATATGGCTTGGTAGCTTGATTAAACACAAATTGTGAAAGTCCAGCTGAGAAGTTCCAGTCTCACATACTAAGTCCACATCAGTTCATACATGAGGGGATGGCACTACGATTCGTGATTCCTCTTGGTCACGAAGGAGACTGAACACAGAAAGATGAGCTATGGAAACATTTCAGGTTTTTAATGAGAACCCATGGTATTATTTAGAAGTGAGGCTAAAAAGTAAGGGAAAAATAAAAGACACATTTTGAAGGAGTTGCTCAGACAAGCTGTCGTATTAAATGTAAAGCCTGGAGGAGAAAGAGCCACAAGTGAGTCCAGGTTGCCTTGGGGAATGGACAGAGCCAAGGAAGCACTTCCTGAGTGACCTATACCTGTACTTTCTCTCTGAATCCTTGGACATACATCTTAAGGTCTTATTCTTTTTTTTTTGAGACGGAGTCTCATTCTGTCGCCCAGGCTGGAGTGCAGTGGCGTGATCTCGGCTCACTGCAAGCTCCGCCTCCCGGGTTCACGCCATTCTCCTGCCTCAGCCTCTGAGTAGCTGGGACTATAGGCGCCCGCCACCACGCCCGGATAATTTTTTGTATTTTTAGTAGAGACGGGGTTTCACCGTGTTAGCCAGGATGGTCTCGATCTCCTGACCTCGTGATCCGCCCGCCTCGGCCTCCCAAAGAGCTGGGATTACAGGCGTGAGCCACGGTGCCCAGCCAGGTCTTATTCTTGAAAGATTTCAGGGGCGAGAAGCCCTTCCATTCTCCATCATGGGACTAAAAACACTGGGAAATATAAAGAAAAATATAAATGAAAGTCATTATTGCCCAGGCGCGGTGGCTCATACCTCTAATCTCTAGGAGGCCGAGGCGGGTGGATCACTTGAGGTCAGGAGTTTCTGACCAGCCTGGCGAATATGGTGAAACCCCGTCTTTACTAAAAATACACAAAATTAGCTGGGTGTGGTGGTACATGCCTGTAATCCCCGCTACTCAGGAGGCTGAGGCAGGAGAATCACTTGAATTGGAGAGGTGGAAGGAGGATGCAGTGAACTGAGATCGCACCACTGCACTCCAGCCTGGGCGACAGAGTGAGAATCCCTCTCAAAACAAAACAAAACAAAACACCAGGCATTATCATTGTATTTTCATTGTAGCATAATAGCAAATGCCATTATGATTTCTAGAAAAGTGAAATTCTGGTTTTTTTTTTTTTTGCTAGCAATACAATTGAAAAAGTAAGATATTAAAAAACAACAGATGATTGAATGCAAGGTGTCTCTCATCTTTTTCCCCCAAGATGACACCTGATACTTTGAATACTATGACTTAAGTAAGCTTGCCGCGATTACTGATTGAGGACCTATTTGGTGAAAGGCTGGAGCTTTGTGATGAAATATAGACAGACACGACATGGACAATGACCTGTAGGAGTTTGCACAGTTAATAAACCTGCAGGTAGATAATAAGCCAGAGCATCCTCGTTAGGGAACAAAGAAAGCTCTGTGACAGCTCAGGGACAAGCTATTTTTTGAGAAAAACTTGATGGAAGCTATAAGTGGTTGAGCTGTGCCATGAAGAATATATGGGCGATGGAAGGGATTCATCTACTAAAGCATCTGACGAATGGAACATTTGAACACACAC